ATTTGTATTTCTACCAGGAGAAAATTCATTCGTGTACTGTCAAGCTGTTCTTTGTGGCCTCAATGACTCCCTGAGTGCCTGCACTCACCCTGCTTGTTTTTAACTTTTACCTAGTTATTGCCCATTTCTGGGTGCCCATCCTTACCTTGTGTGTTTCAGTGGTAAGCCTCCTGATGACTTTCCCAATTTACCCCTTCCCTCCTCTCCATGTTGACCCAGTTACATTCAAATTATCCAAAGGTTTCCCAAGTGCCACAAGCTACTTTATCTCTGACTCCAATGAAGGCACGGACCCACGAGTCCTTGCTGTGTTCTTTCTCTGCATGCAGTGACCAAACTTTTAGCTTTGGGTGACTTTATGTGACCCTCTGAGCATACCATGCTCTCTAGGACCTGTGATAAACTCTTTAATTTCGCATGCCTTTCCAAGTATAATTTCTGTGGCTTTGTCAGAGTGATCCTTAATAACCCCACAAGGGGGACTTACTCCCCATTACAACCCAATTTGCATTGCTGTCACTTTTTCAGAAATTAATATCTATCCTTTTAGAGTTGCAGAGTATTCTAATCAATAGTAAAAAGGAAGCCAAATGAAGTATTCCTAGTAATGTTGGAGAGTTTAATCTCATCTGTCAGGTCAGGGAATTAAAAGGTATCTCCTTTTTGATTTCCAAATGCAGAAACGGTTAATAGTTTATTGGTAATTTGATTGGTTGTATATTAGGCCAAGTATTTTACTTCAAGCTACTTTAAGTCTGTTTATTCAAATTCAGGCATTTAATAGATACTCAAAATATATTTATAGAATTGATAAGTAAAGGCAGAGTTTATCTAAGTATTCTGGCTCTGAAGGAGGCATGTCCCAATAATGTGGTGTTGCAATACCACTTTTTTTAAATGTTTATTTATTTATTTTGAGAGAGAAATAGAGAAACAGAGAAAATAAGCACAGGAGGGGGAGAGGGAAGGAGAGACACTATGCCAAGCAGGCTCCACACTGTCAGTGCAGAGCCCCACATGGGGCTTGAACTCATGAAACTAACCATGAGATCATGACCTGAGCCAAAATCAAGAGTCAGATGCTTGACTGAGCCACCCAAGTGCCCCCACAATACCACTTGCTCATGTTTACAAAAGCAGTGAGTAGTGGGGAGAATGGGGCTGTAGAATCAGACTGATACAATTCAAATCCCAATTCTGCAGGGTATTGGTTATATGGTTTCCAGGAAACCACTTAACTTCTCTGAGCCTTAATTTCCTTTAAATAAAGTGAGGATAATAATATATACCTTACCAGTATGTTGTAAACATTGATACCTACATAAAGGATTGGTCATAATTGGGCAAATTGCCTCATACACATTTGCAGCAAAAAGGTAAAATATAGTTGTCTTAGTTCAGGCTGCTATAACAAATTATTATGGAATGGGTGGCTTAAAGAACAAACATGTATTTCTCACAGTGCTGGAAGCTGGGAAGTCCAAGATCAAGGTACTAGCAGATCTTGTGTCTGGTGAGGTCAGTTTTCTTGGTTTGTAGATGGTCACCTTCTCATAGTATTCTCACAGCAGAGAAAATGAGAAGCAAGCTGTATCTGCCTCTTCTTATAAAAGCACTAATGCCTATGAGGCTTCACCTGTTGACTTGATCACCTCCCAAAGGCCCCATCTCCAAATGCCATTACAGTGAGGATTAGGGCTTCAACCTATGAATTTTAGGGGACACAAACATACAGTCCATAAACATGATAAAAATAGGACATGAATTTTCTATCATCTAACAAAATAATGGAAAGAAATCACATATGATGAGAGATCAAAGCAGAGACAGAGGACTAACTTCTCCTTTTAAAATCTGTGACAATTTTCCATTAGGCAAACAGAAATGAAATGTTACTATTATTTACCTTATTATTGTTTTAACTTTAAAAATTATTTGGGGTATAGTTTGAGGGATTTATTATTTGGTGATAGGAAATAGTTTCTTTGTAGCTTGCTAACTTTTGAAACCCAAGAGTATTGCAACTGGCTGGTGATTTCTAAGTGATTGGTTTCTGTTTAAGTCCTTAATTCAGATAAATGTTCTGGTTATTTTTGCCGTGTAACAAATAAACCCAGAATTTAGAGGCTTAAACCAATCATGTTATGCTCAAAGGTCCCATGGATCAGGAATCTGGAGAGGACATCACAAGGATGGCCTGCCTCTTTTCAGGTTGTCTGGGGCCACAGTTGGGAAAACATGGAGATCAGGGGTGACTTCATAGCAGGGAACTGAAATCATCTGGTTTATTCACTCATATGTCTTATTCCTAGGCTGGCATGACTTGAAGACTGGAGCTTCTTGCCAGAGCATCTATATCATACCTCTCTATGTGGTTTTTGGCTCCCTTTCAGCATAGTGGCCTTAGGGTAGCTGAACTTCTTCCATGGTACCTCAGGCCTCTCGGCCTAAGTATTCCATCAGATAATGCAGAAGCCATATTGGCTTTTATGACAGTCTTAGAGACCACACCACATCCATCCTATATACTCTAGTGGTCAAAGTGGTCAGAAGCCCACTTAGATTCAAGGGGAAAGAACATAGACCCTACCACTTGGTTAAGAGGGTGGCAAGGTCATATCGTAGCAGAGTGTGGGATAAAAGGTATTGTTGTGGCCATCTTTAGAAAATAAAATTGGTCGCAATGAATGATTTTGTAGAGGCCCAATTCACATTAGTATATGAAAAGAAATGTGTTCTGTAGTTACCAAGGGTATTTGCTTGTAGTTGTTCTATTGTCACTGCCCTGCATTCAATGAATCACACACAATTTTCTTTGTGATGGGCTTTTCTTTTATCTTTTCCCTAATGTTGCATTTTCTTAGTTTGGGTTCATTAACTCACTGATAAAGCTATTTTAATATTTAATCTATTCCCAGTTTCCAAATCATTTTCTCAGGTGCCCATCAATTCCTCATAAGTGGCTAATTTAAAAGGCCTTTGAAGCATGACTGCATCTAGCTAAGGCAAGTCTAAATGTCAACCTTGGAAGCATCCAGTGACATTCAGATGACTCCTCTCAGTGTAAGAGACTCATTTTTCTATCATGTGGTATAGCTTGTCAAAAGAGGGCCAGAAATGGTGCTTTTCCCACCCAAAAATTTTTTTTTAATTTTTTTTTCAACGTTTATTTATTTTTGGGACAGGGAGAGACAGAGCATGAACGGGGGAGGGTCAGAGAGAGAGGGAGACAGAGAATCGGAAACAGGCTCCAGGCTCTGAGCCATCAGCCCAGAGCCTGACGCGGGGCTCGAACTCACGGACCGCAAGATCGTGACCTGGCTGAAGTTGGATGCTTAACCGACTGCGCCACCCAGGTGCCCCTCCCACCCAAAATTTTTAGTGCTGTTGAAAGAGCTGGCACTCTAGAATCACGCAGACTTGCTTTAATCCCAGGTGCCCCAGGTAGTTGTGTGAAATTCAGAAAGTTTCTTAAAAATTATGGGGAGGACGGGGCGCCTGGGTGGCGCAGTCAGTTAAGCGTCCGACTTCAGCCAGGTCACGATCTCGCGGTCCATGAGTTCGAGCCCCGCGTCAGGCTCTGGACTGATGGCTCAGAGCCTGGAGCCTGTTTCCGATTCTGTGTCTCCCTCTCTCTCTGCCCCTCCCCCGTTCATGCTCTGTCTCTCTCTGTCCCAAAAATAAATAAACGTTCAAAAAAAAAATTATGGGGAGGTTTCCTCCTCTATATACTGATGATAAAAGTCTCTGCTTTCTAGAATCGTAATAAGGAACTTAAATAGTCCAAGAAGTTTCTGATGTACAGCCTGGTTTATAGTAAGAAGTCAATAGTAGCTAATAATAAGAAAAACTACCTTTACTTTTTCTGTGTTCATAATTTTCTTTCAATGTAATGAGTCTTGACCAGGTTCTTGCACCGAGTATGCCAATTTCATGAGACAGGTGAAGGAGGAAGTGTCCACACTAGGAATGATCTTTGAAGAAGATAGCTTTCTCTTCTTTAGCCTTGGAGCAGAGGTGGCGGGGGTTGGTGGCAACAAAATGTTCACCTGAGAACAATGGTAAACCAGGGAAGGCAACTTTGGGAGCCTGGGGTTGATGGAGGCCATCCTTTTCGAGTGGTATTTTGTCTCCTCTTTCTTCTCTATGGATAGTGATTGGATTGTTCAAAGGGCAATAAAAATTTTTTAATGTTTTCAATTGAGATATCCCTTGGCAGGACTGCCACAAGATAGTATACACCTCATTGTAAAAATATATACATAGTAGGGGTGCCTGAAGGCTCAGTCCGTTAAGTGTTCAACTTTAGCTCAGGTCATGATCTCACAGTTCACGAGTTCAAGCCCTGCATTGGGCTCTGTGCTGACAGCTCAGAGCCTGGATCCTGCTTTAGATTCTGTGTGTGTGTGTGTCTCTCTCTCTGCCTCTACCCCACTTGTTCTCTCTCTCTCAAAAATAAATTAAAAAAAATATGCATACATATAATTATTTCCCTTATGTTCATTTGTTTTGTTTCTTAAATTCCACATATCATTGGGAAGAAAAAAAGAGGAAAACCAAGAACAGGCTCTTAACTACAGAGAACAAATTGATGGTTACCAGAAGGGAGGTGGCAGAGGGGTGGGGGTTAAACAGGTTATGGGAATTAAAGAGTGCACTTGTGTTTGGTGTTTATATGGAAGTTTTGAATAAATTCTACACCTGAAACTAATACTACACTATATGCTAACTAACTGGAATTTAGATAAAAACTTGAAAAAACAGATACACATATTTAGTAAATTGTATAAAACACTGTCAATGTAAGCCATGTTAGACATACAATACAAAATGTAAGATAGAATTTTATTCTTCTGTCTCTTGGGATTTCTCTACTTAAAATTGCTCTTTAATCTCCAATTATTGTAATCATCATTATAAAGATGAAAACTGCTTATTGAATTATTTTAAGCTGTAAGAAAGCTTTAATTGACTTGGATTTATGTCTTTTTGTGTGGCAGGTGGTGAAGTTTACCAAATCCTTTGAACTGATGTCCCCAAAGTGCAGCGCTGATGCTGAGAACAGGTAGGGCTTGTGAGTTTCAGGTTTGTCTTTTGCCCCCTGGTCTTTGGTCCTTGGTGTTGGCAGCATTGTGTAATCCTGTGAGGATAGGAGTTCTTTCTTTAGATCAGCAAATGCAGCCAAATATCATCACTCTTCTATATTTCATGGCTTAAATAAAAACTGTTGCCTATGTATGTCAACTATTCTTCAATAGTAAAAATTTTTAAGAAACTATGGCTGAAAAATACATGTGTATACACTGCAGTATAAAACTGCAAACAAATGAAGTCAAGTTTTAGATATTTCCTAATTACAAAGGCAGCCTAATTTTCTGCTTTATTCTGGCCTTTTGCTTTCTCTCCTTCCCTTTTGTTTGCTTATATTTGGCCAATAATATATCCTTAGGAGAGTGAATCCCGTAATTCATTTTTGTTCCCATTGGTATCTCTGAGGTAAAAGTGAGGGGTGGGGACAGTCAGTGAATTTCTGTTAGCTTTGAACTCCCCTGAACACTAGTTGGGCTGCTACAAAAGAGGATTCTGTTTACTTTGGTCACTTCTAGAAGAAGGGCTAAACAATAGTGAAATTGACCAAAATGCAGAAATGTGGAGAAAGACAAGTAAAGCATTTATATGACAGCATGATGATGATAATGATGATGTTAATACTGATACCAATGCTATGTGCATCACTGAATCACTTCCATTCACTGAGTACTAAGTATGCCAGGTTCTATCTAAAAGTTTTTTTATGCATTTAATCCCCCAAAATAATTCTATGAAGTCAGCATCATTACTCCTGCGTGACAGAGGAGAAAACTAAGGTTCAGCAAGTTTAAGTGACTTATTAAAGGTTCTGTAGGCAATAAGTGGTAGCCACATCCAAGGACAAGGTCACCTAGATAAACCTCTCCTAGCCTCTGAACTTTAACCCCATTGCCACACATAATTTACTGCCTGGTACTTAATCTCATATAGTGAATGTCTGTTGGGTTAATGTTTCCCAAATCTGGCTGATCAGTCAGAATGAAGCTTGGAGAACTTGATAAAAACAATTCTCAGAACCCTCACTGAGAGATTTGATTCAATATGTCACATTTGAAGTCCTAAAGATCTTTAGATGTATTCAAAAGGTTCCCTGGGTACTACCTGCTTCAAGATGTAATATTCAAGGGTAATTTGATTTTATATATCTATTATTGCCTTAAGTTTGGGAAATAGAAATCAGTACATTAAAATCGACACTTCATTTAGTTACTTTAATTTTTATTCAGTGCATGAAATTTAAAAGAGGTCTTTGCTACATACTATATAATTCCATTTATAGGGTGCTCTTGAAAAGGCAATATTATAGAAACAGAAAGCAGACCAGTAGTTTCCAAGAGCTGGAGACGGAGAGAGGGGTTTACTACAAAGGGACAGAGGGGAATTTGGGGATGTGATGGAATTATTCTATATCTTGCTGTGGTGGTGGTTTATGACTGCATTCATCAAAATTTGTAGAACTGTACACTTAATTTTACTGTCTGTAAACTATACCTTAAAAAGGGGGAAAGGGGGCCTTTTGTAATAGGTTTTTGTTTTCATGAAAACATATTTATGTCTGCATCTATATCTCATGTCATCTAATCTACATCTAAAAAAGATAGAGTTACTAATGGTGTACTGAGCAGTTTTCTTTCTTTCTTTCTTTCTTTCTTTCTTTCTTTCTTTCTTTCTTTTTTAATTTTTTAACGTTAATTTATTATTGAGAGACAGAGAGAGATAGAGCAAGGAAGAGGCAGAGAGAGAGGGAGACACAGAATCTGAACCAGGCTGAGCTGTCAGCACAGAGCCCCCAACACGTGGCTCGAACTCACAAACCGCGAGATCATGACCTGAGCCAAAGTCGGACGCTTAACCGACTGAGCCACCCAGGCGCCCCTGAGCAGTTTTCTTAAAATTTTCATGTAAAATAACATGAAATACATTAGAAAAAAATGTGTATTCATACTTACTCCTTTAGCTAGTAATGGCCTCATTAAATTTTCCCTCATATATATATGCGGGGGGGGGAGGTTTATGGAGTTATTAAAACACAAGCTTTGAAATCCTAGTGCTTCGATGTTGTTCTTTTTTATGCTACTGAATGTGTCCTCTTGGCCACTGCAGAGTTAAATATTTCTGATCTTCTGATTATTTTTAATGCTGAAAGAATTTCCATGTCAAAATGAAATGACCCAAGGCCCAGACTGCCCTTGGCTAACTTTCTGATAATAAAGAAAGAAGTGGAGAAAGAAAGGTCAGATTTTCTTTAAAAAGACATTTGAAAAGTGCCTTTGAACTTTGACATTATGAAATAGTACTCTCCATCATTCTATTTGTGGCCTTTAAATTACTGTAGAATCTTCATTTATCTCTGAAGACCTTTTCTGCATTGTCTAGTAATTTCCCTCTTGTAGATGTGGGATCCTTTGGTCATTTATTGGAAGTTAAAGGTATAAAGACAAGTGGCTCTAGCATTTACTTTGCCAGAGGCTGTAGAAGAGTCATTGAAACAGGCTATGAGTCTACAAATCACAGCCTGCTCTCAATACGTTGTAAATCTTTCCTTTAACCTTTCATCACTTAGCGTCTTCACTATAGATAATGTCCATTAGACACCTTAGTCCTCTGGACATCATTCAGAGTTATAATAGAATAACTTTTGAAGATAATGTCTATGACACAATGCAACAGTGTTTCAGGATACTTGTTTAATTCTGATGAATTCTGCCTTAAGGCTTGCTGATTTTTATAGACAGTCCTTGATGACTTCTTTTAAAAACCAATTTTGTTGCTGACTCATCATTTTTACATATTGCCCTGTAGGGCTACCTCCTTTGTCATGGCCCCACTCCTCTTTGTCTTCATGTAACTAATACCAAGTAGTTTCAGAGTTAGAAATGATTTGATCCATTTCTCTCCATGAGGCATGTACCTCGTCTAGGGGCATCCTTGACAACTCCTCCAGTGATAAAATTCACACTCTGTCACCTTGAGCTTTTTAAGCTTATTGAGATTTCTTTTTTTTTTTTTAAGTTTATATATTTATTTTGAGAGAGAGAGTACAAGTAAGGAAGGGGCAGAGAGAGAGGTGGGGGGAGAGAGAGAATTCCAAGCAGGTTCCATGCTCCATGCTGAGTCTGCACCATGAGATCATGACCTGAGCCAAAATCAAGAGTCGGATGTTCAACTGACTGAGCCACCCAGGTGCCCCCCACTGATAGATTTTTTTTTAATTTGATTGATTGACTGATTGATTGATTGATAGAGATTTCTAATTGTTACAAAGGCACTTTGCATTCCTGTGATTTCTACCTATGTGTCCTAAATTTGTCCATTAGAGATAGTTCTTCTTTCACTAGTTTTATTTCTTCATTCAGTAGCCGTATGTTGAATACCTACCCTGTGGTGGGAACTCAGATAGATAGTGGGGCTACAGGAGTTTTTTAAAAACCAGCAGTCTCTGCCTTCAAGGATCTCAAGGCCAATGAATGGGTGTAAGAGTAGCTTAAGAATTTAATATAACCATAAATAGATTTCATCAGGCCTCCATACCATAGCTGTAAATAGAGTCACATTAACAGTGATAATTTTTACTTGCCTGCTTGGTCATTTTTCCCTTGAGTGTAAGACCCAGCCCCTTGCAAAAGCCACTCTTGAAGTAGTTCTGGAAGTCCCCGAGATTTAAACAAACAAAAACAAAACAATTTTATTGCATCATTTTCCCAAGTGTCCACTCCTAAATAGACATAACAGAGCAGCATCTTCTGGGCAGGGGCTTCCTTGCCCCCTCCAGAATTCATTGCACTGTCTCAGATGCACCAGTGGCCTTTTCAAACCTGAGTAAATCTGGGTAATGAGTGTAGAAGTGGGAAGAGGGCTCACTTTCCCTACCATGTGTTATAGTTTGTGGTTTGGCTCCAAACAGTCTTGCATGTACCTCATTTTTTCCAAATCTTTCAGTTACTAAAGCTTTTGTGTGTAGCCCTTATTTCTCCATAGGACTTGGACTTAGTCCATGGGGCCAGGTTTAGGAATTGGAACCCAGATTGATGGCCAGCCACTAAGTTGCTCTCTTGGTTTCCCCACCTTTCTTCCATGTTGGCCACCAGGTTTAGATGCTCAAAACCTCCCCCTCACAGTCCCTTTCTCTCCGTGCACATTATTTTGTGCAAATAAATGCATTTTCATATGCAGATGTATCTCAGTTTAGGTTCTTATGTTCTACTATCAAGTAGACTTGGTGACTGCAAAGCAATTCAGTACTTTCTGTAAAAGGTTTGTGTAAGGTGGCATTTTAATATAGAGGAGGGACACCCAACTCATCTGGGTAAAAATGGAAGCTGATGTTCAGGGAAAGTTCTTGGATGTGGTGAATCTTCAATTAGGTCCTGTAGGGTAATGGTAAGTTAGTGACACAACTAACTTCCAGGAGGAGGAAACATTGTAAACAAAAGCACAGGATCTTTAATTTGGGCTGTGAGCTGTTGTCCTAAAGGTCATCATAATTGATGGTGATGGCCCTTAACTCCTTGTAAGGGCATCCAGCTGCCCAGAATGCCATCTGTTTGGGGCAAGAGTCTTATCAGATCCTTCTGAAATGCTCAAACCCTTTTACCTGGCCTGGAGATTGGCTACATGCTTACTCATAGGGGAGTAATCACAGACAGTGACATTGAGATTTGTGTCTTGAAAAATCATCTGGGCAGTAGAGTGGATGAAGGACTAGAGGAATGGTAAACTAAAGCCACCAGGGGATTAAATCTACTACCTCACCACAGTGGCAATGGTTCAGTACTGGAAGACTGTCATGGATCTGCTGTCCTTATCTTTTCCATGTTAGAAATTGCTAATCTTAGACAATTTTTCTATTTCATGGTCCCCAGACTCTTTGCCACCCTTTTTATTCTCCCATGTATGTGCCCCAGCTTGCCAGAGTCCTTCTTAACATGTTGTTTCCCAGAATGGGACATGACTTTCCAGTTTTTTCCAGAATCA